CGACGCTGCGTAAGAATGCGACGATAGTGGCGCACTCTCTAATTTTGATTTGTCAGCGAGCGCGGCTATAGCGGATGTGAGCTCCGATATAAATGGACGGAGCCCCCTGTCTTCACTTATGACGGGTTCCTGGCTAGGTTTCTTTGGCATGAGATCCTTGGGTACATCTTCCGGATAGGAATCCTGGTACGTGAGCTCTGATACAATCGGTAGGAGCCCCCTGTTTTCATTAACGGTGGGTCCCTGGCTGAGCTTCTGTGGCTTGGGATCCTTTTGTACATCTTCTGGATAGGAATCCTGGTTCGTGAGCTCCTTTAGGGGCTCACTGAGGTCGACAACCTCCGGGGGTGGCTTTGTGACGGTTTTATTAAATGGGGCCTTCCCTCCGGTGGTTGCGCCTTGATTTGACTTTTGTTTGGCTACAGAATTTTCGAGCCAAGATCGAACGTACTTACTTTTGGAGTGATCATCTTCATCATAGTCGTCCGATTCGTCTTCTTCTTCAGTCATCTGTAAGGAGATCTGCGCAAGTTCTAGTTTAATCTTCAATACTTCTTCACGAGCCTTCAAAATTCTTCTATTGGGCCGAACAGTCTTCTTTGACTTCGTACTGCAATCGGTGTGGCCCCTCGGTGGCTCTTCGGTGCGGGTGTCTTCCCGGGCTGTTGGCGATGATGCACGGCTAATGTCATCGTTGCCTTCTATCTGTTCCCTCTGCTTCGTTGTGCGGGCCGTAGTGGCCGGCGCGGGCAGGGGTATCCCCCCTCGGGGGGGGGCAGCATGGCGCCTCAGCGCCCTCTACCGTTCACGGTGTGCGTAGTGGCATCTGATGGTGGACGGCGGCGTTACTGGCCGACGAACCTCTTTCTAGACCGACGGTCCACGCCTTGGCTTCCCTTCCTTGCAAACGGGTGATCGGCATCTTGATTCCGAAAACTCTGCGGTTTTAATACGGTGGTGACTATGTACCCGGTTCTGAAATACAAACGGATATATCCTGCTCGAAGGAACATTGAATGTGGCGGACGGGCGAAACTCTTCGGAGTCAATGTTGTCGAAGATACTTCGCGAGTCGCTCACGTCCTACATCTATAGTTTCCGGAGGATACTTCCACTGCCGTCTTTGTGGGTGCCGCTGAGATATTGTACACTGAGGTTCAAATCAAAATGCACGATTTATAAATACAAATAGCAAGGTAGTGGCCAGCGGTTCGACTGATTGATTAGTCGCGAAATTTTATAACTATTGTTTATTGACCACGGTTGTTGAATTACGGTGGTTCACTATTGGTTGTTCACTGTATATTTCAAAAGATTTCTTTAAATTGTACGGTAGTATCAAATATCTATTGGTAGTAGCTGGTTTTCTAACACTACTGACTAGCAGCTATTATCAACTAAACTAGCTGATTTTATCACTTGTGATTGTCACAACTGCGGATATCAGTTACCACTTTCACTATATGTAACTGCGAATATCAGTTACGACCTTTTTCGGCTAGCTAACACTTTCACTATTCACTATATACTGCTACTAGTCACTTCAGCTACTACCGGATACTACTGCTTGTCACTGATAGTTCTTCACACTACTCTTTACTGGGTCCCGAGCCCCTAAGGTACACTTTGGCTATACCTTACAGTGAGCCGCTTGCCATTTTCCGTTTTGCCTCTTTATTGCATAAACTTTTCACTATGCAAATGGCATAAATTACAATATTTTCTATACAAAACTAATTGCTACACTAACGTGCAATACATCATCAAATCGGTAGTCTGGTACTTTATTAGTATATCATAGAGGTTACTCAAAACATTAACATTGTAAAAAGTTATTAAACGAAATGTCCCAAATTTTCATAATATTTGGGTACATTTATTCTTTGATCTTTCTATAACTTCTAAATGAGTTTAATTATACAAAATATTCCTACACTTTCTTAATCTATAAGCCATATGCTAATTCAATGACATATTTACAACTCTTTTAGAACATAAAATTATTCTGATTATTTTCAGTATGAACTATTACGCAGCTAATTAAAAACTTCTAGAGAGTTCTACGATACGATGCGCTGCGATTGGTCGATTTTTCTTAACACAATAAAAGTTGTTTACATCAACTGTTATCAAAACGACATTCTATACAAATATAATAAGAGTTATATACATGCTACACAACTATATGAATACACGTTTTCACCCAGTTTTGCCGGTAATTTCACAATTAATACAAAAATATTCTTTCATCACTTTGTTTCTTAGCGTTAGGCCGTCGCGAACATTAAGTAATTCTGTTCTTTGTTATTGTTTTTTTTTCACATACTGACGATTTTCTTTTCGATTTTCATGAACCAGACATTTCACTGGATCCTAACAGGCTTGATCATAAAGTTGCATCAGATAGGATAACGGTACTTTCGCTTATTTAAGTGAAATTACCGTTATATATAAAAAGTAACTATTTAGTTACATTCGCTTACAGTCCCAAAGTGAAACCAAAGATTTTACATTAATATCATTTTGAGTTATTGGTTGTGGTGTTTCATAAAAAAAAACATGAAACCTATAGTTATATTTATTCAACAGTAATAAACGTAAATGAAAACAAATTCATTTATAAATTCTTGCGTCGTCGGCGGCAGAGTTGTAAATGATGGTTACATTAATGAAGAGATCATTAAAAGAAAGGCATATGAAAGTGAACGCAAGTAAGACGGAGGTAATGGTTTTTAAAAGAGAAGAAAGTAAAACTATTTGTGATATAAGAATAGAAGGGGAGTTGATCGAGCAAGTAGATGAGTTTGTATATTTTGGTTGTGTATTTAGCAGGGATGGGAGATATGATAAGGATATAGAACGACGAGTGAATGCGGGAAATAGAGTCAATGAGGCCCTGCACTCTATTGTGAAGAGTCAAAATGTGTCGAAAAAGGCACGTATGTATATATATAATTCCCAATGCTGTGTTGGTCCCTACTTTAACGTATGGTAGTGAAAGTTGGGTGTGGCAGAAGAAGCATGAGAGTAGAATGAACGCAGTAGAAATGCTGTCGTCAAGGAGTATATTAGGGCTGAATCTGAATGATAGGGTGAGAAATTGTGTGTGTGAGGAATTGTGTGTCTGATAAGAGAAGAGTGTGGTTTGCAAGATGATGTTGTGACCAGGGTTAAGAAAGGAATGCTTCGGTGGTTTGGTCATGTAGAAAGAATGAATGAGGAAAGAGTGACAAAGAAAATTTATGTTGCAGAAGTGAATGGCAGAGTCGGAAATGGACGTCCTAGGCGAAAATTTATCGACTAAATTGGCGATTTATTGAAAACGTGTCTAATTCGGAGTACTCTTAACCGACGAGCATGTATACGTAGGTATATGGATGTGAAGGAGGCCAGAGAGGTGTGTCAGGATCGTGCCAAATGGAGGTCTGTAGTCTCTGCCTACCCCTCTGGGTGACAGAAGTGAGTATTTATGTATGTAATTATTTAGGAAATCATATTTTAAAGAGGCATGCGACTTATTATAATTAGTTGTGCAATGATGAACTATTTAATGACTATTATCATAGTATAAGCGGATATGTATGATTTGTCCACTTTTACACTGCGATCGGTTAGAAAAACAATAAAAATATTGTCATCGGTGTTGTGTATTACTTAGTGTTGAATGTATACTCATGTGAATTACTACTTACCCTCATTAGCTTCAGCGATATAATTAATTGAATTTTGTGCTTCAGAAAAGCATAAAACAATATTTCTGGAATTTGCAATATCCACTAATAACTTTGCTGTACTTTTAATCATGTTGTACATAAACATATTATGGATACTTTTAACTAAAAACACACCAATAAATCGTAACTGTTTTAAAACATTAATCAGTTCACCACGCGAACAAACGTCGACCGTCGTATGCCCGGGTTACACGAGGCTAGTTTTTAAAGCTAAGATAGCAAGCTAGGGACATCGGTATAACATATCCTGGCTTGCCATCCTGACCAAGCGCGTGCTAATGCTGTGTACATGATACTAGGAAAATTGATGCCAGTGCCAATGCAGTGAGTAAAGTGACAACTCGTCTGTGAAAAAAAATTACTGTTATCGTAAAAAAAAACAAATTCGACTTTAACAGTTACTTCGGAAACTGTGGCAATTTGCACTGGACGAATTACTAGAAGTGGTCTCAGAAAAACGTGTATGGACGAGACCATGGATTTTACAAAGGAGTGAACGTGGATCGCCTGCGTTGCTTTTAGAGGAACTTCGCAATGAAGACATAGGTGAATACAAAAGTGTTTTGCGAATGTCATCTGATTTGTTTAATAATCTATTGAGTCTTGTGACGGCAAAAATACAACGAACGGACACCATTATGAGGCAAGCGGTACAAGCAAAAGTAAAATTGGAGAATATGCAAATGTATACCAGAAGTATGTGTCAAAATCTTCAAAGCATTTAAAGAATACATAAAAATTGTATAATTTTTTGTTTATAAAAAATTATGCATTTGACTAGCTGAGTAGTAATCGGTATTAAGATTTGTAGCCGAACGAGGGAAATCGGATCAAAAATAATAACAAAAAATAGGATGCTCCACAATATTCAAACATATTTACGCATTTATAAGTGCTGCGGCAATCATATCGTAACGCGTCAATTGACCTTGTTGTTTTTCTTTTTGTTGATTATCGGTTGTAGTTAAATTCGACTTACCTGATGTTAGCGCTGTTGAGTCTGAAGAATCGTGACCAGAATAGAATAGTTGTGACTAGGCGTGTGGTATGAAAATGTTGTATTAACGTAATTTAAATCCGACATTCGACAACGAGATAATGTAGCATCTAGTTTATCCCGGGCAATAATGGCCTGTACAGGTAATAAAATTTTTATGGAGTAGCAACAAATGCTGCAATAATGTCATGCTCATTTTCTTACGGTTCTGTAGCATTGTTACATTCAAATTTCACTGTTTTATTTTATCATCTTATATCAACCTAATTTCATTGACTAATGATGCCACTCGTGTAATTTTTTTCTTTCTTGGAGCTGATGCCTGTGGTATTTTTGGGGCCAGATTTATTATAAGATGGAGATGGTTTTACAGCTGGTTCTGGTTCCGCGGACTCGTTGCGTTGCATCATATCATTTGATGTAGACGTAGATGGTTGTGGTGACGATTTTCCTGAAATTGCAATATTATCATCATTGTTATCATCATCACCGAGAGCCGTGGTAGCTCAGATGGTTAACGATCGCTGTAAATATAACAGAATGCGAGTAACCCGGGTACGATCCCCGTCGGCACCAATGAAATTGAAGCAATTTTTACCTGTACGTGTTCACAGACTGCAGACTTCCAGACAGAAGTCTGCAGTCTGTGAACACGTACAGGATCGCCCCCGTCACTACATCAGATTTGATAGACCGCAAATCCTCGCTAAAGAACACCGATTCCTTCCAAGGATGATTCGCGAGGCTATTGAAATCAAAAAACATCCTGATTTCAATAGAGAAGATGGCTGGGTGCTACCATCTGCTTGGGATCCTATAATAAATAAAATTAAATCCCAACCCAAGCATACTACTGCAAGACTTCAAGATACCATAAGTTCATACTGCATAGATCGGAACAAAAGTTAAATTTTAATCTATGGTAACCGCGGTTAACTATGACATATGGACGTTGAACATCTCAGTCCCACCCGTGACCATGAGTGCTGTAAAGCGTTCGAAACGTCGGGTATTAAAAGTTAAATATACGCGATAAATTCCGTAAAAACTAGTATTATTTCAATTTTTACAAAAACAACATAAATGTGTTACACATAATTATTCAGTATTGAAAAAAAACTTAATATCTTTTTAAATACTAAATTTAGTCATTAAATATTTTATTCAATTATGTATTTCTGGTTATTTATTCATAATAAACTGATGTTTTATAGTTATATTTCCTACAAGTCCAATAAAATAAAAAAATGGGCTTTGTATTTATGTATTTTTTGCCAAATATTGTTAGTTATGCGGTTATTGTAATTAAATTTCTAGATTTTCCTGAAGTTAAGTTGTTTTTGTAACAAAAAAACATATGTTCAATAAATTTCATAATAAAACTCATTTTAAAAGCAGCAACCAGGTATTTATTAAAAAGTTAGTACTTATAGGTATATAATCATAAAAAGTGCTAATTATCTTCTTTGCCACTACTATTGTCTTCATTCTCTACTTCATTAGCTAATGAGGTGGTAGTTTCAGGTGAAGTAACTGAACCCAATAGATCTGCATAAAATTTGTGACTTACAGGGCTTGATAAATATTGGGTTAGTTTAAGTATATCATTATATTTATGAGGATTTAACGGCAATCTCGATTCATAAGTAGGCTGAAGTTGAAGTTCTTTAGGCAGTTTTCTTTTATTGCGAATCTGTATCCTGTGCCACGGACCAGTAAAGGTATACCTGACTTGAACATAAGGAACATCTTTATTTATTTTAAGCATCCTAACTTATTTCAGCGTCGTCAAACACGTTTTGGAAAAATTTGACGGTCCATCCAGAAAAACTAGCCCAAAAGTGGGGAATGCTACAAGACGAATGTCAAAAACATGCACGCAACGAGACAAAATTAGTTAATACTTTTTGCAGCGTTTGCCCTTAAAAGCCAATTTTGTGCCATAACTGTTTTTTTAAGTACATTCTTAGACATTATCATCATCATCATCATCATTATAGCCCTTCACAAGTCCACTGCTAAACATAGGCCTCCCCCAAGTAATGCCACAAAGCACGGTCCTGAGCCACCTGCATCCATCGACTTCCTGCATGTCTTACCAGGTCGTCACTCCATCTAGTGGGGGGTCGTCCTACACTACGCCTACCGGTACGAGGCTGCCACTCGAGAACCTTTCTTCCCCATCGGTTATCGGTTCTTCGAGCTATATGGCCGGCCCATTGCCACTTCAGCTTACTAATCCGTTGGGCTATGTCGGTCACTCTGGCTTGACTGCGGATATCCTCATTTCTGAATCTATCACGCAGTATATTATATGTATTTATTTATATATCAAGTTAAAGGATAAATCAAAGCAAAGCAATTTTACTTTAATTGTGTTAAGAAGAACCATCAACCCTCGATTCTTCCATAGGCGTTGTATTTTGCTGTTGGGTGCTAGCGGTGCTACTACCGGTAGTACCTGCATTTAGGTTTTGAGTTGTGTAGCCAGAAGTTCCTGGTGCAAAAAAATCATCATAGTAACAGTTTCGATTATTTTGCAGTTCTTGTATTTCAGCTTCCGAAACTAAATTAAAAATTCTTGACTTTAAAAGTGCTTGATTATAGGTAGATAATTTTTTTTACTGTGCTAGAAATACTTAAAAAAATTTATCCATTTCGTCATTCTGCTTTCCATCTTCATCGTTTTTTTTTTTAATAAATATTCCATTAAAACCGCCGATGCACTTGTTTCTTGCAATTTCTTTCGTTTTGTCGTTTTTGGAATGTCAGGAAACACTGATCTAGATGAATCGTACATAGACACCGAAGATTCAGGACGCTCCGAGATAATTGACGAGTCTTGAGATTCTTCATTATTAGTCACATTGGCAAGAATTTCCGCAGCAGATAAGCTATTTTCATCATCACCATCATCTGTGTTGTCCACTGACGTCACTGTAGACCGTTCTTTATAATGTGGTAATAAAAAAGACATTTCAGTTTCATATTGCCATTTTTTATTAGTATTAGCACTCTGACCACTTTTAGTTGCTTTCTTTTTAATGGCTCTTCTATGATATTCCCTTAAGTTTTGCCATATCTTCTTACATTCTGACGCTGTAACAAAATAATATAAATATAAAGAAAAATTGGTTGTTTCAGGTACTTGATTAGTGGCTGTTCATTTAGGACTATGAGTTCAAGCTTTCGGTTAGGCGAAAGTACCATCCGGTCGATATTAAAAGATGTGTGCAATGCGATCATAAATACAATGAAGGGGAAGTTCATGCCCACACCTACTACCGAAGACTGGAAAAGAATCGCAGATGGTTTCAATAAAAAATGGAATTTTCCAAACTGTATAGGTGCCATCGACGGCAAACATGTAAACATAATTGCTCCTCCTAGCAGCGGCTCGCTATTTTTTAATTATAAAAAACACTTCTCTATCGTCCTCATGGCTGTCGTCGATGATAAATACAGATTTATAGCTGTCGATATAGGGGCCTATGGCAAGAATAGTGATGGCGGAATTTTGGCATCGTCAAGATTAGGAAGAGCGATTGAAATGAATACATTTAATATTCCAACTGACACACCATTACCTGGTACTGAAATAATAATGCCACATGTTTTTGTAGCCGACGAAGCGTTTCCTTTAAAAAGGAATTTATTGCGACCATATCCACGTTCAAGTGGCATTTCAGAAAAGGAAAGAATATACAATAATCGCTTATCGCGAGCTCGCAGAGTAGTTGAAAACGCGTTCGGCATCTTATATCAAAAATTTGGAATTTATAATAAGAATTTGCATTTACACCCAAAATATGTTGATATTGTGGTCTTTGCGACGTGTATTTTACACAATGTCATGCGGTGTTATAATATAACATCCGATGATGAAGTCAACACAAGGCAGAGTTCGGCCAATAATGATGATGAACAGAGATTACTAAGTAATCTAAGTACAATTCCAGAAGATATAAGTGAATCTTCGGCATCTGCTTTTGAAACTCGTGATATGTTTGCAACTTATTTTCAATCTCCCGAAGGACGAGTTCCGTGGCAGCATTTAATATAGATCATGTATAATTAATATGTAATAATCGTAAGAAGTTGGTTATAATATTATTGGCTTATTAAGAATATTAAACAAGTTTCTATACTAAGCTGGGATTTTATTACTGATTACCTATATTAAATAAACGTAAGGCACTTTATTATAACATACAGAAACCCAAACTAAAAAAAAATATATATGATGTAGATTTAATATTTTATATCAGTAAATTCTGGGATTTTATATTACTGTATGTGAAAAAACTAATTTTTACGATAAACCAAGATTTTTCGAGTGTCCAAGTAGAAAATCGTAGGTACTGTTAACTGTACAATAACATACCTACTTTTTGGATGTAACAGGTTGAATTAAATTTTCTCAACAATGTACTTTAATGAAATGACTTATAAGTTTTAACATTATTATTAATATCTATTAGAATCACACGTATTTATTTGTTCGATAGCTGAATTTCTGTAGATTATGGCAAAATCAATAACTCAAAAAAAAAAATTCTTACCTGGTTGCGACAATACAATAGCGATTTCATTCCATGCCTTTTCCTTCTTATGTACGTCACTATATTTCGGATCACGAAGGTCGTATAGTAGCGGATATTTTCGCACTTCTTCTATCAACTTTTCTTTCAGCATGATTTTCGAAAAATTATCACCGTGTACCGCCAACGTGCACTCCGTCCTACGATTCTATAGTGAATGATGGCGGGCGGGGGGAAGGCACGGGGCGGACGGGTGGGCTGGCAAATGGTTGCCCGTCACGCGTCAGTCGCAAACGCATAGTCGTTACGTGGACAACGTTTGGTCGTTGCGTGGACGACGTATGGTCATTGCGTGACAAACGTGTCGGGGTTGACCTCTAGTGTACGATGCGTAGGCCACTCGTTGTACACTACTTTATAATCATTTTTTGAAATTGAACCTTGAACATATGATACAGGGCTTAAATTTCAATGTCTAGCATAGAGTCGAGTCGCCGGTGAGTTGTTATAATGTGCGAAAACCTTAATCCGTTGGGCTATGTCGGTCACTCTGGTTTTACTGCGGATATCCTCATTTCTGAGTCTATCAGGCAGTGAAACTCCGAGCATAGCCCTCTACATAGCTCGCTGAGCGACCTTGAGCGTCCTCATACGGCCAGCGGTGAAGGACCACGTCTCAGATCCGTAAGTCATCACTGGCAACACGCATTGGTTATACACTTTAGTTTTCAGAGATTGAGGTATACCTGACGAGAAGATGTGTCGTAATTTCCCGAACGCTACCCAGCCGAGTTGAATCCGTCGATTGACCTCTCGGTCGAAGTTGGACTTACCTAGTCGGACTATTTGTCCCAGGTAAACGTACTCGTCAACAACTTCGAGCATAGATCTCCCAACAACTACCGGCATAGGTGTGACATGGACATTAAACATGATTTTTGTTTTGTCCATGTTCATCTTAAGACCTATCCGTTGGGAGACACCATTGAGGTCATTGAGCATAGTGCTAAGGTCCTCCAGCGATTCTGCCATAAGGACTATATCGTCGGCAAATCGAAGGTGAGTGATGTACTCGCCATTGATGTTAATACCGTATCCTTTCCAGTCCAGTAGCTTGAAAACGTCTTCCAACGCAGCGGTGAAGAGTTTCAGGGATATAACATCACCCTGTCTTACACCTCTCTGCAGTTGGATAGGTTTCGTACTCTGGTTCTACACTCGGATAGCCATCGTAGCCCTACTGTACAAACACTTCAGCACTTCAATATACCGATAGTCAACTAGGCACCGCCGAAGAGACTGTAGCACCGCCCAAATTTCGACGGAATCAAAGGCTTTCTCATAGTCCACATACGCCAGGCAAAGTGGCAGATTGTACTCTTCGGACTTCTGTACAATTTGCCGAAGGGTATGTATGTGGTCTATGGTACTGAAGCCTTTTCGGAAACCGGCTTGTTCGGGAGGCTGGAAGTCGTCAAGTCTGCGTGCGAGACGATTCGTAATGACTCTCGAAAACAGCACGTAGACGCGGCTCAGAAGGGAAATCGGTCTGTAGTTCTTCAAGAGAGCGTTGTCGCCTTTCTTAAAGAACAAGACCACCGCGCTTCTGCTCCACGCCTCTGGAGTAGTGCCACCATGGGGGACGGAATTGAAGAGCTTCTGAAGGACTTCAAGTACCGGTGTTCCACCCGCTTTCAGAATCTCCGCTGTAATTCCATCCTCGCCCGGGGTCTTGCCGTTTTTAAGGTGGTGGAGAGCCATTCTAATCTCGCTCAGACTGACGTCCGGGATATCATCGGAATAGTGTCGGATAAGAATTGCTCTTGGATCGTTACTAACACTTGCGTGTGGCTCCAACGATGATGTGTACAGCTGCCCATAGAACCTCTCAATCTTCTCAGAATCTCAGGTGTCCCGGAAACGATGTTGCCACACTCAGTCTTCAGCCTTGACAGTTGGCTCTTTCTGGCAGACTTCTGGTACTGGACTTCTTCAGAGATTTCTGGTAGATCTCTGGCAAAGACTTTGGAGCCCTGGTTCCGCTCGATCGCTTCTTTAATACGATCAGTATTAAAGTTGCGTAAGTCTCGCCGCATGCGTTTGGAGATCTGTCTGTTCAGTTGCTTGTATGCTGTCAAATCTGTTGACGATTGCAGCCTCCCGTCTAACAGCCATGAGATTAAGAGTGTGATTGGAGAGTTTTTGTGTTCTTCTGCGGCGGGTCTTGCAGAACTTAGTTCCGACCGCATGGACAGTTTCCACGAGCGTGTCATTCATACCGTCCACTGCATTGCAATCCTCTAGGCACTGAAAGCGGTTTTGTAACTCGAGCTGAAAGGTTTCGGGATTCTGGATTAGAGCACGAGGGGGACGGAGCGTTGACTTCATTAGACGAGACCTCTCCTACTTAACATTTAGGTTCAGTGTGCCTCTAACCATTCGGTGATCGCTGCCAGTTTTCACCCTTGCGATCACTGAGACATCACTGAACAGTTGGCGTCTGGTAGTCATAATGAAGTCAATCTCATTTTTTGTCGAACCGTCGGGGCTCGACCAGGAACTTCCTGTGGGGCCGCTTCTGGAAGAAAGAGTTCATCATAAAGAGTCCCTCTTTTTCCATAAAGTCGGCCAGCTGCTGGTCCCTTCGGTTCCGTTGCCCTACTCCAAATTTCCCCACCTTCAGCTCACCGCTTTCTCTTGTGCCTAGTTTTGGGTTGAAGTCTCTTATCAACACCGTGTAGTGGGTTTTGGAGGAATGCATGGCTCTGGAAATATCCTCATACATTTCCTCCACCTCCTCATCGGGATATGCCGAGGTTGGTGCGTAAACCTGTATGACCTTCAGCGAATACCGTTTGGTGATTCTGAGTATCAGGTACGCGACCCTCGTCGACACACTCCCAATCTTTACAACGTTGTTGACGAGATACTTGTGGACGATAAATCCGACACTTCCTTGGGACAGATGGTCGCCCTGGTGGTGGTAGAACAAGTTGCCGGACTCGAGGATCGCCGTATCCTCCCCCTCTCTTCGGACCTCGGATACTCCAATAATATGCCAGCGCAACTTGTCTACCTCTTCTTCCAGCTCCAGTATCTTCTCGTCAGTCCTCAGAGTGCGTGCGTTATATGTTGCCAGGTCGAGTCGACGTAGGTGGCAACCGAACCTCCACCGGAGATTCTTAGCACCCCCTGCCCCGCCGTTACCATGGTCGTCTTGGCGTCTAATTTCATTGAATTTTTCAACTTTCAACAAATGCAGTTTATGTTCATTCTTCAGTAAAGTTTTTGTCTCATCCAAAGCAGCCAATTTTATCTTTAATCTGTATTTATCACATGTTGCACAGGTGTCTGTTCTTGGTAAACCGAATTTCAGTATGTATTCATTTTTAAAAACTAACCAATACACCATATAAGTGACTCTTATTTGATAACTATTCAGAAACATGTTAAACATTTTGAAAACAGTTAAATCTTCAGGCAAATATCGTCAGTTAGGGTCTTGTCTCAGGGAATAATGTGATTGCATGGTTTTAAATGACTCAATGTGGTTGCGGACTAGGTTTAGAACTTCTTCAGGTGCTTTATTGTACCTGTTGCTTTTGTATGATCCACGCATATCCTTAGGTGTTAAAACATTAATTGAAATCAGATGTTGAAGCCTTCGGACGCGACCTTTTGTCACCCCATGAATGTTGCAAAAAGCCGTCAGGCATACTGGTATTACATTTACACCAACGCGTATTTTAAATGAATAAGAAGCCATTCGAAACTTTTGTGGAACTTCAGTAGTATGCTTCTTAGGGTATGATGATGAAATCAGACTCATCAAGTAAGCATCTTGATCATTTTTGTTGCCCAACATATTGAAATGAAGTATTATATTTTCTCTATCTTGATAACTTATTTTGGTATAACATTTCAAAACTTTGACTGGAAATAAAGAAATTATTTTTATTACAACAACGATAAACAACAATGAAAACACTAATATATTTACTTAGCTAACCTGCAATCAGGTCCAACCACTCTTTCTTTGACTAGGTTATTTCTGTGGTTAATATGTTCTTTTCCTTGAGCTTTCTTTAATTTTATCACAGTTTCTTTTTTCATCTTGGGTTTTTTACGTTTAATTCCAGTAGTATTTTCACTATTTTCCGCCATAATTTATAGCAAAACTTGCAAATTCACTCCAAAACAAAACAACTCTCTGCCGCCAACTGATACACTACACTGACAGTGACAGATTTGACGACTTTTTTTTACAAAAACTACACAACTGTAACAGTTATGTTGTTTTTGCCAAATATTATTGCACATATGTAGTTTTTGTAAAATCACCAAATTTTAACAAGGGATTTCTCGTAGTTGAGTAGTTTTTGTTAAAAACGGATCAATGCATTGAAAAGCCTATTTGAAAACGAACAAAAAGTTACCAGTAACAAAAAATTACGAAAAATGAAAGTTATGTTGTTTTTGTAAAAATCGCTTCAATTGTTAATTGCAATTTTAAGTGCTGATTTACCACTTGCTCGGCGGTGAAGGAAAACATCGTGAGTAAACCTGCATGTCTGAGTAATAAGAAGAAAATATTTCAAAGATATGTGAAGTTCGCCAACACGCATTGGGGCAGCGCAGCGGACACTTCCTTGCCCTGAAACCCTCACAGAAATGAGGGGAGGCCTGTGCCCAGCAGTGGGACGTATATAGGCTGTAACTTTACTTTACTTACTATTATCACTGTTTATGGTATTGACTTGTTCATCAACTTCTGATTCTAGGTTGTCCTAAAAGAAAAAAAATATTATTTATAAACAAAATAAATTTTTACACATCCCAACTAAAACAAATTTTTATCCAATGCAGTACTATTATCATTATTAACCTTGAGCACTCGTACTCGGTGCTGAAGTATAACCGCTCTCAAAGGCTGCATGTTTGCAGCACTGTTTACATTATTTTCTTGAGGGCTTGTACTCGGTACTGAAATATATCCGTTCTAAAAGACCAAAATTATACCCGGTGCTGCACAATTATCATTATTATCTTGATTACTTGTACTTGGTGCTGAAGAATAACACTGGTACCACGTGTTCTGTATTTCAAATTCTTCAGCATCGAAAACAATATTAATAACTTAAAACTTTGCTTGAAGTTGAGAAAAGGTGATCGCTTTTTTAAATTTTGTGTCATCGACAAACAATGAACCATATCATCTAGGCTATTTTTTATTGTTTTTTGATAGTATCAGTTTTTAGTTCTTCTCGTTCTCTCTGCAATCTGTCGCGATTTTCTTGGTTAAGTTGAAGTAGTTTTTTTGTGAATTTGTGATTTCATTCGATTTTCTTTTATTTGTTTGGGGTGCAGATTATAAATTTGATATTTCAGAACGTTGTGGGGAATTTACTTGTGGTGTAATGGAATTACTATAGCTATATTGCTGTGTAGAGTACGAACTGCTATAGCTATTTTTATCTTCGTTGGATTGTTGCATAGTTGAGGAAAACTGATAACTTGATGAATTAAAATTTATAGACCACATTGTTAGTGATGTAGGGTACCACAAACTATATTATCTTTTCATATTTCCACTTGGGTTTGCTTTGGAGCTCGCCCCCTTTTTTTTTTCAGTGCATCTCGCTGACTATCCCGTTGCCTTTTCATTTAGATTTCGCAGTTTTAACTGAAAACAAAGCCTTTATTTAATACACAATAGAGAAAAAATGTGGAGGATGTGGTGGTGTGTAGGTGCGGATGTGTGGATTTGTGTGTGAAGATGCGAGGGAAGGATTTTTTTTAACGGTCCTGAAATTATATTCGCCAAGGCCTACAGGCCATAACCATTAGCTGACGAATAATCTTTTTTTTTAAATGTTTATTTTATTTTATTACAGGTACATGTTAACAGTGTAACAATCCCCTCCTCTTCTTATAAAAATATAAATTATTTATATATATTTTAATTAATTATTTATAATTATTTTCCCCTTTATATTAAAATTATATATGTGTGACCAGGATAAATAAAATACGTTTTTATCTTTCTAAATGATCTTTGTAAAAGTTTAATAATAGGGCGTTTTTAATATTTTTGGCGTGATCGTCAGTAAAAAAGGCTTGGCCGCTTGGTCGTGCGTAAGTACAAATACTGACCGAATTCGCGCATGTCAATGCAGAGTGATGTAAGTGTATGATATCACCACCAATTGCATGATCAGCACGACTACTAGCCCCTGCGGCTGTGTCTGCGAATGGGTCTCACTTTGTGCGGTTTTTGGCCGCAGCCTTAAGAGTGTCCTCAGACCCTCCCTCCAGCTATCACCTGAATTAGGTCGACACATATGCTCCACTAACCAATACAACGGCAGATATTGCCAAAAGGCAGTTATAAGATAAGAGTAATAATTCGCCATCAGAAAGGGTTTGTGTCACTGACGTTGTGTAAATGCATTTTCGATCATATTTATCTCACCCACCAACATGTTGCTTTCAATCATTCAAAGGTGGGAAAGTTACAGAGATATATTATTATGTTGTATAAAATATCATGGAGGTCAGACAGTCTGAAGCCCCGTAATGAAGCCGTGCAGCCGTGCAAATTATTTGCAGGCCGCACTGGCACATATGTGTATGGAATGACATATACATTTAAATATTTTGATACCCGGAAAATTATTTGTCAATTTACTGCTAACAGAATTGTGTGCGCCCATCATAACGTTACACCCATCTGATGCAAATCCAATAATATTTGTTAGAGGTTCATCCAAATCAGATAAACTTTTAATAATTGCTTCATATACTATTACTTATACACATTACATTTGCATTGCAGCCTTCTCTTTCTACATTTCTGTCAAAATCGCCATGTCTGAACAGTGGGACTAACTCCCATAAACATATTTCAATTTTTGCAGAAGTAGTATCGTAAAATTTGACCACAATACACATAGTTTTGGAGCAAGCAATATCCGTAGATTATCTATTACAACACTGAATCTTGTTTTTTGAAGCTTTTGTGCGAAGGCGTCTTTATGTTGTTTGCCAATGACATTTGTAACTGTAGCCGTACATTTTGTCATTTTTAGTTTTATTTCATTTCGCAAATGCACAACTTGTACATTTGCGACACCAATCCTCGACATCATCACGATAATGGACTCAGTAAAACCGTTCTCGGATTTTCAGTAGAGGTACAGCTGTAAAACATCCGGCATTAGGGACAACCATTTGAAAACGACAGCTGTCTCCTCGACCATTTTCCCATTTACGGCACAGGAATCCATCTTGAATCAGCAAGCTGTCCCATAGGGCCCAATAGCTTTTAGTGGTTGAACTTATCGCTGAGACGTCGCTCCACTTGGACTTGGGAGCACTGGCCTTCATCCATTCCAGAACCGGCTTGATGTCTGGACCTTACTGCTGTTCATGTTGAAACCTGTCCTTCCACTCGTTGCTCAGGTGGTCTGTCCTGAGCATAGTACCTCTTCTATTATTATTACTTATATTATTACTCAGGTAAAAATTAAACGAATATTCGTACTTTATGTTAATTAAAATTAAAACTGTATGTAATATTCGGCAAATATCTATAATCTATATTCGGTCCATCACTTGTAAATAAATCAATATTATTATTATTTGAAAAAAAAAAATTTAATACAAATATGGTAGCATGGAAATCTTGGAATCTTATAACATACATATTATATCTCAATTTAATTTATTTAACAAAGCATTATTAATTACATAGTTAAGAATTCAAGAATGCTTTGTTAATTAAATTTAATTCATCATTTCATGGTTCAGCTACTTATTGCTCTTCTTTATTTTGCACATCCACTTCTTGGTCATAACCGGGTACAACCACTTCATTGCTTAAAATATAAACAGTATCTAATGTGAGATTATTAGTACGATTATAAATGTATTATAAATGTATATATTAGCAGAAATTCACGAGAGCTGCTAAATCTTGACGGAGACATACTATTTGAAGTGGCAACATTGGGCCTAGATACAATATTTGTTCTTATGATAGGTGGTTCTATAAATGAGGATGGAGATTAGGGACATAAACTCGAGGAAGATGAATATATAAAAGGAGAATGCCCATAGATGTATGGAATTTCGTACCAAGTTTCATCAAAATCAAACTTTGTTTTTTATAGACTACACTAATCCTATTAACTCCTTCAAAAGTCCTTTTTGAAAAAAAATCCGGGTTTTGGAGTTGTTTTATAAAATCGAAAATAACCTAAAACTATTACGTCACTTTTTCGATGCTACAAACGACCTATTTTAAATTGACACTTTAAACATGGACAAACATTATTGCTCTAAAAACCAATAATATTAGTAATAAATACATTATTAGTAAGAATTACGAGTCATAGCAACACGTAGCCGCGCCATCGGATGCGTGACATTTGCCCTGAAACTCGGACATTTGCCCGACCTTTATACATATTGCCAATACTTTGAGTGGGTAACGTATCTAAAGTTAATATGTATATAATTGGACGCCACTGCGATCACACTACCACACCAATATCAATAATACATTATCATAAGTGTGACCATTCAGACCGAAAAAAAGCTCGTTGAGTCAAGAGCGTCTATAACCTTTTAATCTAAGATACGATACTATTCATGACAGACACTATTGCTCAAGCTCATGTTGTTGTCAATCGATTAGGTAAGTGATAAAAATAAAACAAACAAGTGCATTTGGGTTTTTTTAGTAGCGATTTAAAGTCAAAAATATTTATTTAAAATATATTTACTTTAATAATTCATCATACTCCTGAAAAAAATCATCTAAAGCCGTTCCCGGCGCAGTTACGTCATTATAGCGTCCCCAGCTCAAATACCACACTATCGTCATTATATGAGCACAGCAACCTACTTCGTTTACCTACATAAACCTAATAACTAACTAATCTCAACTCTCAAAACACAGACAGTTGTATTTGTTAGAACAAAGATAGTGCGTGGTCAGCGTAAAGGTCAGATGCACTTTAAACGTCATTTATAAGATTTTCTATTTAACTGGTTTTACGGTTCTGGGTTCTAGCCTTTCGGAATCTTCAGTTTTATATATTTTTTAAAACCGTATGGATATTGTAGTAAATGGAGCATGGAGCTATTGAGCTGTCGTCAAAATCTCCTAAGAACTTCGCCATGTGACGCATCAGCATATTGTGAAGAAAAAATATATAAAAATGAAGATTCCGAAAGATATGATATGCTCAGAAGGGCTAGACTCCGGAGCCGTAAAACCAGTTAAACAAACATAAAAAATAATACAATATCAATATCCATACTTTTAAACTCAAAAAAAATTCCCTCTTTAAAAATAAAATCCCCGGACGCGTAAAGGTGGGTACAGATTGGTGCAATGCAACATGTAATGTAATATTCTGCCTTACATTGCATGTTCCCTGCTGCCTTGGATGTGTGGCGCGCGCGGTACGCGCATTGACTACGAATCAGAACGAGAAAATCTATTCCCGTATTTCGTTACAAACACTAGCCCTCGTCACACGTGTTTTTTTCTTTGCCCACATCACTCTACTTAAGTCGATATACTTACGAATCATGGAGTCTGAAGACAGCCTTCTTGCTCTGACGATTATCGGTGCTTCATTGTTAATCATTCATCAACTTTTAAAAAAACGCCAAAGACCCCGACGTCGGTGGAGCACAGAATTATATAAACGGAGAGAAGGCAGAAAACTGCTTACAGATATGAATTTCCAGCATATAAGTGGCCAATACAAAAGTTTTACGAGGATGACGCCAACAGACTTTGAAAATTTACTCGCGATAGTCGCACCAAGAATAAGTCGAAAATATTCAAATTTAAGAGCTCCAATTTCAGCCCAAGATAGACTAGCGATTACTCTTCGATTTTTAAGCTCCGGGGACTCTTACACAAGTCTACAGTATACATTTAGAGTATCTAAACAATCTATAAGTGGAATTGTTCCTGAAGTGTGCTCTGCTATAATTGAAGAATTAAAAGAAAACATTAAGGTACGTATAATCAAAATCTTTAATTTTCTTCGTTAACTAAATTAAATCAGTAAAATCATCTATAGAACAGTGCTGTGATTCTTGTGAAGAGACCGACCGAAACCGAAAGGCTGCTGGTTGATTGAGTAGTTAGCAGCGTCTACATTTTCTGCTGAGGTATAACCGTAGGTTACTGAAGTTGAGGGACGATTGGAGTATGGTTCTGTATAATATGCATTTGGTTGATGTTGCCAAGATTCATAATATCCCCTGTCGGCTTTCATAATAATTTCAAATATTGCGTGTTCAACCGAAGTCCTAGTCTGAGAGGAATAGTTACTCATTTTAGCTCCTATAAATGAAATAAAACTTTTTGTTAAGTCAGGAATGCTTGATGAACTGTCCAATTTCTGTGCAGTTGTTTTCAATATACCAACTACATCGGTAAGAACATTGTTTTCGTCTCTTCTGGATCGTTTCGCTTCCTGTAGACCATGCTCATTTGGTGGTGCTGGAGGGGTGAACTCATGTTGCGTGGCTTCGGTGGCATTGTTTTTGGAGACTGAGCGTTGAATGGACTCCTGGAAATAATTGACTCAAAGTTTAACTGGAACTACCACATTGAACATGTGTGTAATAAGTTGCGTCAGTTTCTAGCCACAATAAAAATCCTAAAAAATCGCATACCCTTCAAAGTAAGACTTATGCTTTACATCTCCCTGGCTGACTCTTATATTCAGTATGGCGTGTCGAGCTATGGTCGAACGTACAAATCATATTTAAAACAGATCTATGATCTTCAATTTAGTATTCTCAAAAATATTATATCCCCTAATATACGTGTCCTAATTGATGATGATGAAAATGCGATTTTTAAACGTTGTAAAATCTTACCAGTTTATGACCAAATTAAATTCATGTTATTAAAAAAAATATTTCTTTTGCAACAGTTTAAAATCCTATATAGAACAACCTGTACGTACGCGCGCTATGACACAAAACCGACTCCGGCATCTCACTGCTAATAATGTGTGTGTGTGCAACGGACGGCTGCTTATCAGGTACCACATTTAATAAATTACTTACCTTTCGATGTACGCGAAAAAGTATCACAACAAAACATTAAAACTAAACTCAAAAGCTTTTTCCTATCTAAATTATAATTACATACTATATCTACTTAATAATAATGTACTACCTGCCTAGCTCTTAGTTTTACCTTGCTACTTCTGACTTTAACTAAGTTGTTAACTTACCTTTTTAGTCTTTATATTCTTGTTACACCTTCTACCTACTCATATACCTAACTATTGAATTAGACTGTGTTTTGTAATTCGCTTACTTAAATTTAATTATTTAGCATCAAGGTAAACCTCTGTGGTTTTTAAATGTTAATTAAGCCTATATTGAAATGTAATTTTTGTTTGATTTGATAAATAAATTGAAAAAAAAATATAATGATTTAAGTATTTTTAAGGTACCCACGACTGCCAACGCCTGGTTGAAGATAAGCAAGGAGTTTGAAGACCGTGGAACTTCCCACACTGTATAGGGGCATTGGACGGGAAGCACGCTTTACTTCAAGCCCCTATTAAAAGTGGGACCGAGTTTTATAATTATAAACAAAATTTTAACATCGTTTTGTTTGCTCAAGTTGATGCAGACTATAATTTTCTATTCGTAGACGTAGGTTGTCAAGGGAGGATTTCTGATGGCGGAGTTTTCAAAGATACCCAATTATATGATAAGATAGAGAATCGAACATTAGACCTGCCAGAGTCATGTCCCCTATCCGATAGAAATGTTTCTATACCAATTTTTTTTTAGGCGATAGTGCGTTTGCTTTAAGTGAATACTTTATGAAGCCATATGCTGGGATACATCCAAAGGGTTCATCGAAGAGAATATTTAATTATAGATTAAACAGAGCTAGACGGATTGATGAAAACGTATTTGGCATTGTATCGTCTGTGTTCAGAGTTTTAAGAAAACCAATGCTTTTACAACCCGATAAAGCTGAATTGGTAGTTATGGCAATCACTCTTTTACACAATTATTTAAAACGTTACTCTACAAACGTGTACATGATTCCGGGGTTAGTTGATAGGGAGGAAGATGGAAATTTAAATGAAGGTACGTGGAGGCAAAATAATAATAACATCATATCAATACTGCCTGTAAGAAATATCCCTAGACGATCACCTACGTATCTTAAATCTATCAGAGACGAATTAGCTGATTATTTTATGAATGGAGGAAAGGTTTCTTGGCAAGACAGATGCTTATAGTTTAAATCTTATCGTATTTTTTCTCTTTCTTGGTGTGTTTCTATCGTCTAAGAACTTTAAAGCATTGTAGGCAAACCATCGACTTGTGTATGTGTCCGAAGTACCTGCAATAAAACACACATACGTAGGCGGTCCCATAATGAATTGGCCTAACTATGAACCAATGAAGGAAATGAAACGAAACCAATTTTATTTTTCAATATAATCACCATGAATACTAACACACTTCTGACATCTGTGAATCAACATCTCTAAACCTTCATAAAAATAATCACATTTTTTATCCTCAAAATGACTGAAGACGGCCGCCTGCAACTCTTCATCGCTTGAAAATTTTCTTCCTCTTAAGTCCCGCTTTAAATTTGGAAATAAATAATAGTCGTACGGGGCCATGTCTGGACTGTAAGGTGGATGTTGAACTTCTGTGAACCCACATTGACGAACTGCATCCTTCGAAACACCAGCGGTATGAACAGGGGCGTTGTCATGGAGCAACAGGACACCTTTAGACAGCTTGCCTCTTCGTTTTTCCTTTATCTTGTCTCGTAATTTATATATTAAAGAAGCATAATATTCGCCGTTCACGACTGTATCACGTTCTTTAAAATCCACCATCAAAATGCCTTGAAAATCCCAAAATATTGTGCACATCAGTTTTTTAGTCGATTGTTGCACCTTTGCCTTTCTAGAGGGCTTTTCACCCTTATAACGCCATTTCATTGACTCGCGCTTGCTTTGTGGATCATAATACAAGATCATAGTTTCATCACCAGTCACTAGCCGCTCGATCACAGTGAGCGCAGCGCACTCTTTCCTGACTCTGTACCGCTGAAAGAAGTTTCGGTACCCATCTTGCACTCACTTTTTTCATGTGAAGATGTTCATGGATCGCGCGATGAACGGTACTCTTAGAGAGCCCAAGCCTTGCTGCAATTTCTCTAATCTTCAAACGGCGGTCACTCAGAACCTCCTCTTCGATAAGAGCAATCGTTTCGGGAGTGAGCACTTCCACAGGTCGACCGTCGTGGCCAAAGTCTTCGACGGTTTCTCTCCCGAGGCGAAACTCTTTTACCCAATTTTTCACTGTGCTATAGGAGGGGGCAGACTCCTTATACACGCCATCCAATCGTTCTTTTATTTGGGCAGGGGATAAACCTTCTTTAAACAGAAACTTTATGACACTTCGATACTCAGTTTTCGACATTTTGAAAAAATACGCGACTCTCGTTATTCAAATGCCTGTTAAACTAAGACTAAGCATTTCATGTCGATGCATGTTTTTTATATTAAGTGCACGATAAACGTACTATTTAATGCAACACAACATGTAGCGACATATCGCGTTGAACTATATCAGGCCAGTTCATTACATTGGGACCGCCTGCTACATTAATACACTTATTTATTTACTAGCTTTACTTTAATTATTGACCTGTAGTTAGTTACTGCACATAATTCTTTTAATAATAAACTATGTTATTTAATGCATAATAACAATACTATTCTAGCTCCTACAAAACGTCGTCAATATTGAATTAAAACAAATAAATTAAAATAAATCCCTTGGCAGCCACGTTTAACTATCAACTATTTATTATTTAACCCACTTAAAACATTCTGTATAAATTGAATATACATATGTTTTTATTCGCTAGGTAACTAGGTATAAATAGTTTATGCAAAAAAAAATATTTTTAGATTTATAAACTCCATTGTACTTTTTTTGTAATTTGATTTTATTATCTAAGTAGGTACCTTAATTTTTTGATGACTTAAATTGTAATAAATACCTATATAAAAACAAATAAAATGCATTATTCTTACCTTTTCCAGTCCCCTTGGATTTTTTTCCTTTCCTTTTTCACGGCGGTGAGAAGAGAGAAGACTTCTCATTTTGTTATTGCACTTTTCTGCTGTTATTTTCAATACATTTCCGATTTCGTCCCACGCATCTTTCTTTAAATTTTGTTTATAAAAGTTTTCATTTTAAGGGTTCCATAAAACTTTCCTTGTTCTGTATTTCTCCATCAATAAAAGTGACTCGTCATCACTCCACGCACCCTCTTTCACCGCCATGATCGTTGCGCATGACATAGCTAAATTAGATGAAGACGAAAGCAATGAGTAGGCAGATGGTGGCCGAGATATATTATCCGTGCGACGAAATAATGAGTGAATTTCAAACATAATATCTTCATGTTTGTTTTTCAGATAGTTTTTTTGAGTTTTTTGGCTATAAGTTTTCCAAAAATGTCACATTCATCTTCTACTTCAGCCTTTTGGTTAATAGCATTATTAAGTGTTCGAAAAGCTTCAGTCATTTGTTGACTAGCCCGATGCAGTTCCGGAGGATTATAACGACGACGAATAGTTTTATTCTTTCCTTATCCGTCGGATATAATTGAAGTTTCTTTCATTATGCTCATTTCTTCTATATCTTCATCTATTTTTACTGCATTTGTTGTTCCTATAGTAAAAATTATAAAATATGTTTTATTGTTTGCAGGTACCGGCGAATGCTATGGCCATTCCATAGAAGTTGAAAAGGGAAAAACTTTCCACATGCTGTAGGTACCATGGACGGCAAACATATAACTGTACAATGCCCAAACAACTCGGGGTCAGAATATTATAACTACAAAGCATTGTGCGATGGCAAATATTGTTTTATTTTTGCTGACATTGGTAGCCAAGGGAGGTTCAGTGACGGTTGTGTATTTTAAAACTCTTTACTATAGGAGAAAATGTCTTCTAATGATCTGAATTTGCCTCCACCATGTCCACTGCCTAATGATAATGTTAACATACCGTATGTTGTGTTGGCTGACGGAGCATTTGCTTTATGGGAAAACATTATGAAACCATACCCAGGAATGAATAAGCCCGAATGAAAATGAAATTTTAATAAAAGATTATCTAAAAGTTAATTTGTAGTGGAAAATACATTTGCAGTTTAAGTACTAAATTTAGAATATTCTATAAGCCTATATAGCGAATGTGTCGCTTGGCAATCATATCGCTAAAACCCTTTGACATTCTCTTCTTCCCATTCTTTTTTCGAAGCGGCATCTTTCTTGCAGATGGTATCGACGCGAAGAGAAGAGTCTTGACCTCCACTATATCAGCCACTGAGAAAGAGGATAACACAATTGATGTATACGCTCCTCATCCATAAAGTCTAACACAATACGCAAGAATACTAACACCTCATTTATCACTATATTACAGTTTGCACACTTCACAGTACCTATTAGTAGAAGTCATTTTCTCTCTCACGATCGAACGAGTCACCAAGTCGACGGCACACAAGTGTACTGCGTCTGTGTACGGTCACGTTGCACCCAAGACTGATTAATGATAATATGACCAAATTCAGAATTTTTGGAAGGCCTCTATTATTAAAACCAGAAAAAACTTCTGATTTAACTATGACTTGCATATTATTGCACATTTTTCTACGTAAAAGTAAAACATCAAGGAATATATACACGCCACTAGAGGGAATGGATTCATAGTGGTACTTGGCGAAAGAAAATTAAGGAATTACAAGCAACTTGTGCCATAACCAACACCCTTGCAAATGTAGCACGAAGACCGCCACTTGATGCCAAACAAATTAGAGAAGAATTCACGTCATATTTTTTTAATAATTCTAGAAGAATTCAACATAACTAATGTTTAATTCTTGTTACTGTAGAAAAATACATATTTTGGTACCTACATATTTATTTTAATACCTGTCATTGTACCGTACGAAAATATGTAAGCATAGAATAATCAGCAATTGTTTATGAAATGTAAAACGAAATAATAATATTAAAATTGTATTTATTTTGTACTCGAATCTACACTACTGCTAATTCTTATTAACTACCTATGTATTTCATTTACCAAAAATACATTTTTATCGATTGTTTGTTGTTGTATAATATTTGATTACGCTATAAATACCCACTGAATACCGAACATAACTACATTTCATTACATTACAAACCTAATATTATATAATACCTACCTACTTAGATACCAAAATAAATCTTAGACGCAGGTTTACCTACTCTTTGTAACGCAGTATGTAGTTTGTATGCATGTAGGCATAGTAAGAATTTCGCAATGTGACGCATCAGTAAATTGAGAATAGTTTTGTGAATAAAATCACATCGTATTAGGCTGTATGGTATAAAACTTTTTCCTGCTTTTATTGGCGAATTGTATCAGCTACAACAATTAGTCAATTAAGTTTTGAATTAAAAAAATCGAGATTTTGATAGGCCATAAAGGTAGCGGTTTGCGTCGCGACAAAGACAGGAGACTGAGACGGGAGACTGCGCCAAGTGTCACGGTCTCTTCTGCATTTATTGTGGGCCGAGAACGAGACCGCAACCAAAGCTACAATTCGTCCCGTATCGGAGAGTCTGTCGATATAGTCAGTTGTGTTGTACTGTGTCATTAATTTACACCGTAATGGAAACCCAAGTAGAACTTCTAATGGAGTAAGAAGAAGAAGATGATTTGCTCTTATATTATTATTGGGTCATTGTCAAAGCGGTAATTGAATATGTTCCGTATTAAAAATTGTCACTGAAAACATTTAAGTGTTATTTAAATTAAAATATTTTTCATTCGTAACTTTTATTTGAAGTTAAAAGCAAATATCAAGCAATAAAAAATAATTATATGAAAAATAATTTGATTTAAAGTCCTAGTCATATGTCCCCTTCGGTGGTCCGTTCAGAATTAACGCACACAAATATTGCACTTTCTATTTTTGAAATCACAAAATATTATAATTAATTACACTAATTTTGTTTAATTAGATGTTATCAAGAGGTCATTCAATATATAACTAAATAAAGAATATAGTTCATAAAAAATTATCAACGATTGTCACGTGTTACAAAACCAAGATGTCTTTTCGGTGGTCATGAAATTCGCTAATAAATTACAGCATAATTAATTTTTACGAACGCAGCTAAAACTTTACACATCATCATTAATTTTCAAACGCATCCAGGTAGCCATCTTTTGTTTGTAACTGGAGTGAAAGTGAAACCGGTGTCCTATTTACCAATAATTGTATTTTGGCCAAACCTCAACGTATCTTTTCGGTTACGCTTTTAAATTGGTAAGTTTTTATTAATTTTCTCAAATAAATATTTGGCATGTTGGGTATCAAGGACTTAATTAAAAATGGCTTAAATTTTTTTCCTAACCTCAAAATTTAGTTCAGCACCTACGTTTGGTTCTAAAATGACCATTTGGTGGTCAATGACGATTGACGAAATGACATTTATAAAAGATTCAATTTTACAGCATGAGTTTTACAGATGCTTAATATACTATTTGTGTTGAGTGTGAGCTTTCTTGCTTTTTCAGATAGAAAAATGGCAAAGACCCGGAAAAATATTTCTGATGAAGAAAAGAAAAACAGAAGAAGGGAGCAGAAAAAGCTTACTATGAGGAAGTTGCGAGAAAAACTGAAACAAAACCCTGTAGCAATGGAGGAAAAACGTAGAAAGGACCGGGAATATTATTATCTAAAAAAGAACAAGGGTTGAATAAAACTATTAAAGATATGACATACGAGTACCGGCACTCGCAAAGTAAACATTTCACGTACATTGTCCGTAAATAATTATTGAAATGTGGTGTCTAAAGTGATCTGATGTGTTTACGACGTGTACCGGAATAAAGCTCCTTAAGTGACCTATCTTTTGGTATAATAACATCGCAAAAATATCAATTAAAAAAATATAAAATATATCGAACATTCAGTGGGAGACATCGTACTATATTTAGCACACTTCCTAAAAAAGAAGACAATTTAGAATTTATTTTCTGAATGTGTGGCTTCCACATCAACCTGTTGTCTAATATAAGTCCTAGGTATTTTTCATTACTTGCTTTATTTATATGTGCACCATTTATTGTGAGAGGCGAAAAGTCTGGTATCTTTTTGTATTTAGCAGAAAAGATGACATAGTCAGTTTTTGATACATTAATAGTTAACAAATTGCATGAGAACCATTTCTGCAAGAGGTTAAGGTCTTTCTGGGCTTCCTCTACGATTAAATTGATGCTATGTCCGAAATAAATAAATAGGCAAGTATCATCCGCGTACAAGGTGATATTTCCCTTTAAGTCTATGTTGTGTATATCGTTTATATATATTAGAAACAACAAAGGTCCCAAAATTGACCCTTGAGGAACACCGTATTGAACAGGTTTAGGGCTGCTAACATGTTTATCTATTGTAACTACTTGAAAACGGTGTGTGAGATATGACTATCATTTCTAGGGCCAATCCAGTTATATATATCTGGATTGGCTATATAATTATTTATTTAAGATTGGGATATATAATTATTACCTTAGTACATTCACTTTGACCGTCGATATTTCCGATATCTTTGTGATAATACAAGATCAAACGAACTTTTCAAGTAAAGTTCGATCATTATTATATGAATTGCTTCATTTGAAGATATAAATGTTCACCAAGGAGTCCCCTTAACCCACAGGTGACTCTATGCACGCTTGAAAAGATACTCAACTGGCTAAACTGAATTTCGCTGTGAACCGACTTACCCTACCACCACCGACTCGGGGAAGGAGTGAGTCGCCATTCTGAACTAATTATTTTTGAAGTGTAGAGAAAACTTTCCGTATTAGGGCTAGCAAACCACTGTTATTGAGGGGGAGGTTAATGGATTATATCTTCAAATGAAGCGATTCATATTAATAAACTAACTTCACTTGAGAAGTTCGTTTGATCTTATATTTCATCGCTTCATTTTCAAATATAAATATTCACCAGGTAGAATCTTAGAGCAGAAAGTATTTTCTAGTAATAAAATAATATATATTTTTTTGGAATATATTTATTAGTTACT